GCCACCCAGACACCCCCAATTCACATTTCTTATACCTTATGTAACACCACTGAGATACAGATGCATCCTGTGATGACATTTTTATATCTCTATAACACAGGCAATGGTTGTGACATAGTTAGCATTGCTGTGCAAGTGAAACTGTATGCAATTTAGACATACTGTTCATATAGTAGTCACTTATATAGGAGTTTGCATTAACATTAGCCATGTTATGAAATTTTCCTGTTTAGACATGTTCAAAAGGATGACATTATCATTTGGCACTGAATAAAAAAGTCTTGTGTTCACAGAAGGGCAAGGAAACAAAGCAGTCTGATATATTTTATTTGTAATATACAAATAAATCCTTCTTTCAACAAATATAACATTAAAAATCTAAGTGTAAGTGAAAAAGTTGTAGAGATCTGTTTCACAACATTTTATTTTACTTTATTTTAATTTTTTTTTAAGGTTTTTATTTATTTCTAGGAGAGAGAGAGAGACAGCATGAGCAGGGGAGGGTCACAGAGAGAGGGAGTCACAGACTGAAACAGGCTCCAGGCTCTGAGTTGGCAGTCAGCACAGAGCCCGTTGCGGGGCCCGAACCCATGAACCACGAGATCATGACCTAAGCGAAATGATCTAAGCGAAAAGTCGGACGCTTAACCGACTTAACCGACTAAGCCACCCAGGCGCCCCTGTTTCACAACAAATACACTTCACATGACTGAACCATACACACAAAAATGGATAAGGCTGGAAACTTTATGTTTTTTACCACAATGAAAAGTTTTTACAAGAAAAGTCGAAGTGATGAAGCACTGTATAATGTTAATTGACTGTTCTTCCTTCTTAGTGGTGTGTAATGTAACAGTGCTTCTTTCGATCAGTGATAGCACCTGAGAATTTGATGAACCACAGACTTTTTTTAAAGTTCGGAGACTGCTATATGCAATTTGCCACACTTATACCAAAAAAAATTATCTGTGTTCCTAAGCCTGGTCATTTTGCCTTAAAACATATCTTAGAAACTCATGATATAAAACATAGCCATAACCAATGTATGTGAAAATAATTAGAAATAAAACAAATGGAGGAGCCTGGCTGGCTCAGTCGGTAGAGCGTGTGACTCGTAAGCTCAGGGTGGTAAGGTCAAGCCACTCTCCATGGAGCCTACTTAAAATAAAACTTAAAAATAAAATAAACAAAACAAATGGGCACAAATTTCATTTTCAGTATGAGTACCTCTCTATTTTCCTCAAAAGAAACCATAGGAATAAGACACAAAAATATCTTTTATCTTCGATGAAAATAAGAAACAATGGTAACCTTTAACAACAATAGATTAAGAGGATGGGGAAGAACACAGACTTGGTAATACGAAAGAAAGTCACACCAAAGTACCTATTATGGGGGAGGGGTCCAATGAGAAGTAAACTGATTTACCCCTATAACCATGGAAACACTTAGAAACTGTGCCATCCACAGGCATTGCTGAAAAAGTAGGCTGAAAAAGGCTAAAAACATTTTATAATGTTTAGAAAGAGAAAAATCAAGAAGAAAATGGGAGGAAATTACCAAAAGCTTATTTTTAAAAAAATGTTTATAGGACTGGTGGACTTGTATCTGCAGGATAAAGAGATTCACTGAGTATTCAATATACAGTATTAATAAAACCTGAAGGAAGGCACATCACTGTGAAATTTCAAGAATAAAGAATATAAAGACAATATGCTAAAAACCTCTAGGAGAAAACACTGTTAAATTTAAATTTAAAAAGAAAAATAGCAGATCATATCCAATTTCTATATTTAGCCTATTGGTCAAGTATGAGAACAGAATAAAAACATCTACAACACGCCGCATCTCCCAGATTCCACTTCCCATCCTCCCTTTCTTCAGAGGCACTTAAGATGGCCATAACAAAACAAGAGAAAAAGACAGTGTTCAAGATATAGGCAACCAAGATCGGAAATAGGCAAAGGCTATTTTTAAGATGCCAACTATACAATGTAGATTGGAACAGACAGACGGAGGACCTAGGAAAGAGATCCAAGAGGGAAAAAAATGAACAAAGTTTATTTAATAAGTATGTGTAGATTCCTATATTGAAGAGTACTTTATAAAAAGCTTTTCGAGCAGGTGAAAAATCTTTACCCCAATATTCAAAGAATACTAAGCAAATTTTTAAAAATGAGACAATTAGAAACTAAGAAAAAAATCCAAAATTATAAAATAAACTGTAACCATACTATATTAATTGGTTCAGCTGTGAAAATATTACATTTATACTAATAAAAATGTTGAACACCTATTTATCTAAAAATTATAGTATAGTTATACTAGGAATCTGAGAGAGTATAAAGAAGGAGTTCAGACACAACTTATTTTACTTAACATAGCCACTATAATCATTAGTTCTTATTAAAAATAGTATAAAACCATGACAGTAGTTAATAAAAGCAGTAAGAATTATTAATTAAAAGAACTAAATGAAAACTTAAGAGTTCTGGCTCCAGAAACCATGAAAAAAAGCACTCATAGATGTGAATATAAATATTTAAATTCTAAAAATGCATTTATAATTTTAAATTTAAATAAATATTAAAAATGCATTTCTGTGAAAAATCACAAACAGAATCAAAACACTAATATGTTAGGAAAAACAACAAATGATTAATTTTCTTAATATAAAAAGAGCTCCTACAAATCAAATACACAAATAACAGATAGAGAGTCCTATATGCCACAGCTGTAAAACTCTACGGGAAAAATTTAAGATCAAAATGGAAAATATACTTTTACAATATTGAAAACATATCAATAAAATATAAAAATGTCTCCTCAAGATTTATATACACAATGAAATTCCACTCAAATTCCCAGCATGTTTCTGTACATGTGTGGAAATTTTAAGCTAATTCTAAAAGTATATAGAAGTGCAAAAAGCTAAAAAGAATAAAGTAGGAAGATTTAGAGATGCATGAATACACATACTTTGTAAGATATGAAGACTTCCAAAACTAGAAACCAAAATCAACCTGAAATATAGGGACACCTGATTTATAGCAAAAGGAGAAACACAAAAGAATGGAGAAAAGATAGTTTTTTCAATAAATGGTGCTAGGTCAACTGAATGTCTGTATGGAAAAATATGACACTTGATCTATACCTCAATACATAAAAATCAATTACAGGTTAATAGTACATCAAAATGTGAAAGGCAAAATAATAAAACTTCTACAAGATGGGAGAATGTTTTTCTTTTCTTTTCTTTTCTTTTTTTTAGAGAGAGAAAGTGAATCAGAGTAGGGGAGAGAAGGCAGAAGGAGGGAAGGATGTTGGGAGAGAGTGAGAGTGAGAGAGGGAGAGAGAGAGAGAGAGGGAGAGAGAGAAAGACAGAGAGAGACAGAAAATACCAAGCAGGCTCCACAGTTAGCATGGAGCCCTATACAGGGCTCAATCCCACAACCCAGGGATCATGACCTAAGCTGAAATCAAGAGTTGGACGCTGAACTTCCTGAACCACCCAGGAGCCCCATGGAGGAAAGATTTCTTAAACAAGACAAAAAAGCACTGATCATAAAAGAAATAGTAGATAAATTGCATTATGTTAAAAATTATAAACTTCCATTCAATGAAAAGCATCATTAAGAGTAAAATATAAGACAGAATCAGGGAAAATATTTGCGAAGTATTCAACTGACAATGAGTATATATCCAATATATAAAGAATTCCAAAAATTAATTAAAAAGATAAACACACAAATTAAAAACTGAGGAAGAAATCTGAACAAAAACTTCATCAAAAAGAATATAAAGAAGGCCAGTCAGCATCTAAAAAGGTCAAACCTCACTGTTAGGCAGGAAAATAAAAACTAAAACCACAATGAAATACCACTACATATCTACCAGAATAGCTAATATTCAAAACAAAAATTGTCAGCACCAAGCGCTGATGAAGATAGGGTGATGGAGACTCTCATACACTTCTTACAGAAATGTAAACTATTACAACCATTTTTGGAAGGCAGTTTGGGCATTATATACTAAAAGCAAAGATATGTATACCTGGGACTCAACAATCCCGCTCCAACGCAATATAATTAATAGAAGCGTATCATGTGTGTACATGTTCATGGCAGCACATGAATGTTCCTATCAGTATTATCAGTAACAACGAAATGCAAACAACTGAAGAATGGATAAACCAGAGCATATTCATATAATGGACTAGCACACCAGCAAGGAAAATGAATAAACTACAGCCACAGGCAAGAATATGGATGAATTTCAAACATTCAATCTTGAACAAAAAGAATAAGACACAAAAAACACATAGCATATTACTCTATTTACATCAAGTTTTAAAAGCACAACAAATATATGATGTTTTAAGTCAGTATAATGGTTATCTTTGGAGGGAATAGAAGGGGTAGTAGTTGAAAAGGTGTGGAAGGTGGACTTCTGGATGGAGGTTATATGGGTGTGTTCGCTTCATGGTAATCATTAAGCTGTGGACTTATGGTCTGTACATTTATTTTGTATGTGCATTCCACCTTAATAAAAAAGAGGAAAAATTTTAATCTCTTTGACATTGTTTCAAATATATGCATATCATTCTCTCTCTATGACCTCTATTTGGTAGCAATGAGAGGTACCTGGTGTCATACTTAGAGAAGTGGGGGTGGGGATAACAAAGGAAAAGAAAAAATCTATAGCTGTTAAATATATTTTCTGTACATAATCTGCCTATTTGCCCTTGTCATGATTCCCTAGTCTTTTCTTAAATGAAAAATAATTCTTTAAATTCCAGATCCCAAAAAGGCAGCAAATCCTTCAAATAAAATATTTTTCTCTTATTTAGATTGATTTCAGATATCATGCTTCATATCAATTTAGTAAACTTCTTTGTAACTTACATTTGTTCAAAGATTTTAATATAATCTCTTTATAAAATTTAACATTGACATAAAGAAAATGATCTGGCAAGGTGCAACCATAAAAAATATTTTTACCTGCAAGAAATCAATCTGCATACAAGCGCTAGTCAATTCTGGTGTCAAAAAACAAGAGTCCGTCACGCAGTTTCCATACTCAATACTATCTGGAAACTGACTGCATTCTAGCTGTGAGTTGTGTCCTCTGACCATCACAGAGCTACTGGCTGATCCTTTCACTTGGTGCCCTTGAAACTCAACAGGCTACAAGTAAATTATTAAAAATGAGTATTGTGTAAGTATATATTGATATACAGTCACAAGCATATATACATAGAAAATAAATCACAATTCAGCTCTATTAAATATTACTTAATGTAATAACTGCTAAGTGACCAATACTAAAAACCAGGGAATACTCCTGTTATCCTAACATTAACTATGAAATATAACTCAGTTATAGATTTAATCGAATTCAAGTTAAAAATTAATAAGTATCAATTTTTTCATTACACGTATAACAGTATAGTTATAATGGGCTAATTAAACCAGAAAGATGGGGAGTGGCTCACAGTTTGTGAGTCTGAGCCCTGCGTCAGGCTCTGTGCGAACACTGTGGAGCCTGCTTCAGATCATCTCTCCCTTTCTCTCTGTCCCTCCCCCACTTGCTCTCTCTCAAAAATAAATGAATAAACTTAAAAAAAATCAGAATGAAGGGGCACCTGGGTGGCTCAGTCAGTTAAGTGTCCAACTCTTGATTTGGGCTCAGGTCATGATCTCATGGGCATGAGACTAGCTCTAATTCGGGCTCCATGTGGAGCCAACTTGGGATTTTCTCTCTGCCCTTCCCCTACTTGTGCATGCTCTCTCTTTCACAAAATAAATAAACATTATGGGGAAAAACCAGAAAGACATAATTGCTCCTTTCTCTATGCTTCCCCTGTACATTATACAATTTTCCATTATAGACTTATCACATTATAGTACAATGAAGTTTTTTCTTATCTATATACTATCTTACCTATATACTAAGTATATTGTAAGATCCTTGAGGGAAGAGACCTTTTGTTTCATCAGGATATAATGTGCACTTAACACTGTGTTTGGCATACAGGAGACAGTCAACAAGCACAATAATAGGAAAGAAAGTAAGAGAAGAAACACAATACATTTTCATTTATTTAGGCATTTTGTAAACTATCAGGCTTAACAGACAAGGAGGGATGGTGGGCTCTCTGCCTCCCAGAAGATCTGATCCTATTGCTCTGAGAACAAAAGTGATGCCTAAGAATATGATGTCAATATAGGTATGCACCTCAGGGAGGTAACTGTCATCTCCTTAGAGACTTGATCAGCTTTCAGGCTCCAAGTGGCTTTCTCTGCTGCCCCCTTGAGGGTGCTAGGATTTTTACTCCTCACAGGTTGACCAAGCCTACCCAGAACGTAGAAAATTAAGATTGCTAATAGAGCCAAAGGAATGCACACAAAGGATAAATTTATTTCTAACTAATAAATGAACAAAATTATAATAGTACATAATCTGGATATTCTCTTATTTAAAAATGAAGATTCTAAATCACACATTTGAGAGGAAAATCAAATCTAAAATGTCCCTGTATTGGGCTTTTGTTGAAAATATTCTGAATTATAAAACACACACATTTCAATTTAAAAAGTCTCAATTGTTAAAGACTGTATATTTCCATTTTGTTTGATGGGGAACACAAATTCTCCACAAGCAAACAGATGCCTTGTTTTCTGTGCTTCTATGTGGATCTCTTCTGTAGAGGTTGACTGGGTTTCAGAAACAGAATCAGTACTTATAAACTTCAACTATTTATATGCTATTTTCTCTATCAATTTTTGATATGCAGTAGGTAGAACTATTTAGACCTTGGGTTAGATATACTTCTACAGTAGTAGAAGTGGTAGAACAGACTTTATGTTCAGGTCTATAAAGATATTCATTTTGTTCTCAGCAGAACATTCCTTAATTATAATTTATCTTCCTGTCCAACCTCTAGGGCATCCTTCATAAATACATGTACATGTATATATATATATACATCCTTCATAGATGCATATATATGAGATGCATTATTAGTTCATGAGTAAAGAGAAAGGGCTCAAGACCAAAGGCTAGCAGTTATTAGTTACTCTTGCTCTTAAAACCAGGTTAATTCATTATGCTCACTAACCTTCTACCTGTGAAAATTCTGATAGTTGTATAAAAAATAGCAGGAAACGACAGTGGATTAGGAAATCAAAGATCTTCACAAGTTTTACCTTAGGGTCACAAGTTTTTCTCTTTAGCTGTTTAGGAATAACACCTAGAAAAGTAGTCACTTCTTCATTTCCCAAGGGAAAGAACTAGAATAAAATACCAGTGTGTTAGCTAGAATAGTTTTGTAGGTGGTACATGAGTTAGATGGGAAAATACTCACAAAACTTAAAGTCTGCCACTTGAAAATACATTTGCTATTTCAATCTTCCGTATATACACATGTATAAAAACTATCCCTCGCAAAGGAGTTCTCTAGCAGATGAGGTACTTGTGCTAATTAATTTTAAAATTCAGCAATAAAAAATTCTAATTCTAAAATTTCAACTGAATGTTTTAACACTAGAAAAAATTGTTAAGTACCTAATAATTACCCACCAAATCTAATATTTAATGTGAATGCAGATTAATTCAAAAATGAATGATTATTAGAATCATTTTCTAGCAACCATAAAACACAAAATACAGACAACAGCAACTAGTCATTTTTAAGTCATCAAATAACTATGTAAAATAACCATAATTCCTACTATGAATTAGATAGAAAAATGAATTCAACTGAGAAGCAATTTTTATGTTTAAAAAATGTAGAGAAAAATATTTCCTCAATAGACAGAAGAGATAAATTAGTGTATTTCTTCAAATAATGGGTGCTTTCCATTAATAACAAAATACATTAGCAGATCTGCCAACCAAGTAGTTCTTAAAAACATTCAACTCATATTTTATTTTATTTTTTTATCAAGTCATATTTTAGAATTTTCTAATACAGTGAGTTTAAAAAAATCAATTAGCACAGCACCTTCTCTTCTCCTTTGCTATCTGTAGCTAATTATAGAATCGAAGTGGCAGTGCCATTAAGTGTATCCTCTAAGGATACCCTAATTTTAAATTTTGAAAGTTCTATTATTAATGCACATGAAGAAGCTGCTTCAGAGGGTTGTAGTACAAAAGACATTACATAAATACAAATATACTCCTATATTAATGCTACAGATATAATAATTTCTTTTTGGAAAAGACTGTAAAACCTTTTTCATTACTGTTAAGATTACAATGCATTTTTTTAAAAACATGCAATTATTTATTTATTTATTTATTTAGAGAAAGCATAAGTGAGAAGGGGAAGAGAGATGGAGAGAGAGAATCCCAAGCATGCTCCACACTGTCAGTGCAGAGCCCTATGCAGGGCTCAATCTCATGAACCATGAGATTATGACCTGAGCCAACACCAAGAGTTAGACGCTTAACCAGCTGAGCCACGCAGGTGTCCTGAAACACGTAATATTTATTTTAAGGGGTAACTCCTTATGGAGGAAAAAATAGTGATACTGTTTATTTGCAGTTTATACTTTGTGATAATTGATCTTGAATTTAAATTTCAATTGAATTTAAAATTAAAATTAAAATCCTAATTTTTCAATTGAAAGAAAGCAGTAAGAATATGATCACTTATGGCCCCTGGGTGGCTCAGTCGGTTAAGCATCCCACTCTTGGTTTCTTTCAGCACAGGTCACGACCTCATGGTTCGTGAGTTTGCACCAGTAATGTGATGCGTCCTTCGGATTCTCTCTCTCCGTCCCTCCCCTGGTCCTGTGCATTGTGCACATGCTGTCTCTCTGTCAAAATAAATAAACTTAAAAAAAAAAAAGAATGTGATCATTTACAAACTAAATTATACAGTTGCTAATTATGATATTATATACTTGCTCTTATTATATATAAAGGGTGCAAAATGATTGAGCCAGCACAATATGAATTTTATTTCTTTTGTTCTCTTTTAGGCAACAAGAGTTGCAAGTGCAGCTGTAATTGTCAATGACAATTACTGGATTAAGTAATGCTTGCAAGTTTACAGACTTAGTCTTATAATAAAAGATCTGTTATCTAACCAAATCCCATTGACCACACAGGCATTTGTACAAAAGACAGTAGGATCATCTAAATAAGTATAATTACTTATTAAGTACTTATAATTACTTAATTAAGTACCAATTACAAATGAGATTGAAAACTAGTGGTGCCTGGGTGGCTTAGGCAGTTAAGCATCATACTCTTGATTTTGGCTCAGGTCATGGTCTCACAATCATGACCTTAAGATTCTCTCTCTCCCCCTCTCTCTGTGTCCCTCTTCTCTCTCTTTCTCTCAAAAATAAATTAATTAAAAAATAAAATAAATGAGATTGAAAACTGACAATATAAAATACAAACATAAAATTATATGCCATACCTATATATACAACTATAATTTCTGGCTACTTTACAGTTTAAAAATAAACTTACCTGCAAAGAATGAAGTGATTCACTTGGTTTGACTTCATTTTCTTTTATAATCTTAGGAACAGAATATTAACATAAGAACAACTAAAAAACATGTTTCTATTAAAAATAAGAAATAAAAGAGTACCATCACTAATAATCAAAAAAGTAAAAAATGTTAATTAAACACTATTTTGACTTAGTAAGAATTGAAAATATCTTAGTACTGGTGAATGAAGAGTGAAATAAATATTCATATTGTAAAACAGTAAGACTTTTAAATTTGACAATATAAATCAAGAAAATTGTTCTTAGCTTTTCAAGTTATTAGTTTCACTTCTGGGACTAACATCTAAGGAAATAACTTAAATGTAAACAATGATTTATGTGTAAAAACATTTACTAATATTTTATTTATCCAAGCAAATGCTGTAAATAACCTAAATGTTCAAAATAGGGCACTGTTTGTCCAAAGCACAGGATATCCATAGAATGGAATAGTAAGTAGCCTTTAAAAGATATATCTAACCGCTGGTCGGTAGCAAGCCACCAATGTCAATCTCTGTTCCACAGGATGGGGTTTATTAAAGCTGTCAAGAATAAGACTTACTTCAAGAGATATCAAGTGAAATTTAGAAGACAAGAGTGCAAAATTGATTACTTTGCTTTGAAATTCTTGGTAATTCAGGATAAAAATAAGTACAACACCCCTTAATACAGGATGATAGTTTGTGTTACCAACAGAGATATCTCATTTATCAGATTGCTAACACTCATATAAAAGGAGATATGATAGTTTGTGCAGCTTATGCGCATTAACTCCCAAAGTATGGTGTGAAGGTTGGCATGACAAATCATGCTGCAGCATACTATACTGGCCTGATGCTGGCCCACAGGCTTCTCAGTAGGTTTGGTCTGGGCAAAGTCTATGAAGGCCAAGTGGAGGCTATAAGATGAATACAATATGGAAAGTACTGATGGTCAATCTGGTGCCTTCACCTGCTATTTGGATACAGGGCTTGCCAGAATGCCTACTGGAAATAATTCTGGAAGACCCTCAAGGGAGCTGCAGATGGAGGTTTTTCTATTCCTCACAGTACTAAACGATCCCTTGGTTATGACTGGGAAAGCAAGGAATTCAATGCAAAAGTACATGGGAAGCACATCTTGGGTCAGAACGTTGTAGATTATATGTGTTCCTAATGGAAGAAGACTTAGGATGCTTACAAGAAACAATTCTCTTGATACATAAAGAACAAGGAAACTTCAGGCATGATGGAGATGTATAAGAAAGCTCTTGTTGCTGTATAAGAGAATCCAATCTTTGAGAGGCAGCCTAAGAAAGAAGTTAAAAAGAAGAGGTGGAATCATTTCAAAATGTCTCTTGCACAGAAGAAAGACAGAGTAGCTGAGAAGGCAAGCTTCTTTAGAGCACAGGAATGGCTGCTGAGAGCTAATAAACCAAACCACAATTTTGATTTTTCAGATTAAAGACAGTAATAAACTTATTCACCAAGCGGCTAATAAAATAAAATAAATTAATAGAAGATACATTTAAGAAGTGTTTTAATGAAGTGAGAAATATAATAAGGGGAAAAGATACAAAACTATTTGTATACATCAATCTAAACATTTTTAAAAATAGGCCAAAAAATCCTGGAAACATTAATAATAATCATCTCTCAGTAGGTTGTTTTATTTTTTTCACTTTTTCTGTAATTAAAAAAGAGAAAACATCAAGATTATTAAAAAACAGTAATATGGAAAATAGAGCAATATACAAAATGGGGCAAATGAAACATTTCACTTTCTTTTCTTTCAAACATTATCTTCTTGAAAGAGCAATGCCATATGAATTGTCCCTCCAAATACATTAATAGTATCCCCACTGAGAAACACTAATTTAGAGGATTTTATTCTAGAATTTCAATGTACCTAATTAGTACTATTATTTTTATATTACTACAATGGTTCCCAAACTGTTCAAGATACTTTGGGGTCCCACAGGGAACTCAACATGGGCTCCATAAGATGCTTTAAATTTAAGGGAAATAGTGTCATCTGATCTCTATTGATCTCTACTGAACAAACTACTAACTCAAGATAGTTCCATTTCAACTACAGATCTTATGTCATTTCTCTCAATGGCACCATATCTTTGTAAAGCTGAGTTTTCAGAAATTGCTATGATAAAAAAGAAATCAATTACCATCAGAAATACAACATGAACTAATTATTCCAAGGTTTGGGAAGCTGAGCAATGACCAACAAATCCATACATTCTATCAGTGATTGTGTTTATTTAAAAATAAAGTGCTTACAGCAACATCTTACTCAACACGTCTCCAGAGGCAAGGGAAACAAAAGCAAAAATGAACTCTGTGACCTCATCCAAATAAAAAGCTTCTGCACAGCAAAAAAAACAATCAGCAAAACTACAAAGGAACTGACAGAATGGGAGAAGTTATTAGCAAATGACACATCAAATAAAGGGTTAGTATCCAAAATCTATAAAGATCTTATCAAACTCAACACCCCAAAAAAAAATAATAATCCAGTGAAGAAATGGGCAAAAGACATGGCTACTTCTCCAAAGAAGACATCCAGATGGCAAACAGACACATGAAAAAATACTCAACATCACTCATTATCAGGGAAATACAAATCAAAACCACAAGAGATACCCCCTCACACCTGTCAGAACGGCTAACATTAACAACTCGGGCAACAACAGATGTTGGCAAGGATGCGGAGAAAGAGGATCTCTTTTGCACTGCTGGTGGGAATGCAAACTGATGCAGGCACTCTGGAAAAACAGTATGGAGGTTTTTCAAAAATTAAAAATAGAAGTACCCTGTGACCCAGCAATTGCACTACTAGGTCTTTGTCCAAGGAATACGGTGTGCTATTTAGAAGGGGCACATGCACCCCAATGTTTATAGCAGCGTTATTGACAATAGCCAAAGTATGGAAAGAGTCCAAATGTCCATCGATGGATGAATGGATAAAGAAGATGTGGTGTATATACATACAATGGAGTATTACTCGGCAATCAAAAAGAATGAAATCTTGACATTTGCAACTACATGGATGGAACTGGAGGGTATGATGCTAAGTGAAATTAGTCAGAGAAAGACAAGTATCATATGACTTCACTCATATGAGGAATTTAAAGATGGACATATGGGAAGAGAAGCAAAAAAATGTATAAAAAGAGGGAGCAAGAAAAAACATACTAGACTTAAGTATAGAGAACATAGAGAACAGAGGGTTGGCTGGAGGAGTTGTGGGATGGGGGATGGGCTAAAAGGGCATTAGGACTCTACTCCTGAAATCATTGTACCATATGCTAACTAACTTGGATGTAAATTAAAAAATAAGTTAAAAGGAAAAATTAAAAATAAATAAAATGCTTACAAGAACCATTTCATTATACATATATCGAATCATTATGTTGTACAACTTAAACTGATTACAATGTTAATAGGTCTTTTATATCAATAAAAATGGAAAAAAGTAAAAAGCTCATTAAATTACTAGGACATAATACTATGTTGTTTAATACTACTAACTACTTAATAAATGGAACTGCCAGGTTTGGTTTTTCTTCTTTTTGGCCAAGGAATATAATGAAAACAATTACTGAAATATAGGGTGTAGGGGAATCATGAACCAAGATAGCTTGGGACCCTTTATATTACTATAAACTCATTACAAATAACAACATTCTATATCAAAATATAAGAATATGCTGATAGGGGAAAAAAAAAGATTTACCTGTTGAGAATCCTGGTTCAGATGAGGAAACTTTGGTAAAGTCTGTGAAACTACTGGAGTCAATGGTTTCCTGGCTATAATAGATAAAATGAAATAATTTTATTCATCATACATATAGTAGTGTTTTTAAACTTTTTAAAAACTTATTTCTAGGAGTGCCTGGCTGGCCCAGGTAGTAGAGCATGTACCTCTTGATTTTGGGTTGTAGGTGCAACCCCACACTGGGTGTAGATACTACTTAAAAATAAAATCTTTGGGGCACCTGGGTGGCTCAGTCGGTTAAGTGTCTGACTGTTGATGTCAGCCCAGGTCATGGTCTCATGAGAGATCAAGCCTCTATCTGATAGCACAGAGCCTGCTTGAGATTCTCTCTCCCTTCCTGCCTCCCCCTAAACCCTGCTTCACAGGTGTGTGCATGGGTTTACACTCTCTCTCAAAATAAATATTTAAAATAATAAAATATTTTTAAAAAAAACACTTAGAATGAAACAAGGAATACAACTTAAATTTGAAGATAAGGTAGTCTTGATAATTGTTCAATCTGTATTTGGGATATTTGAGGATTCATTGCTATTTTCTGTATGTTCAAACATTTTCATGATAAAAAAATTTTTTAAAAGGTTTTGGTTCTTTTTTTTAATTTTTTTTAATGTTTTATTTATTTCTGAGAGAGTAATGTTTTATTTATTTTTGAGAGAGAGAGAGAGAGAGACAGCATGAGCAGGGGAGGGTCAGAGAGAGAGGGAGACACAGAATCTGAAGCAGGCTCCAGGCTCTGAGCTGTCAGCACAGAGCCCGACGCAGGGCTGGAACCCACGAACCGTGAGATCATGACCTGAGCCGAAGTCAGACACTTAACCGACTGAGCCACCCAAGCGCCCCGGTTTTGGTTGTTTTCTAAGTCAGTATTAGAAATGGTTCCTTTTTTCAAACTAATTGAAAAATACTGAGTAAACAGCTAATAACCTATACTAACAATTCTAAAAATGAAATATTAACTGTTAGAACAAAGCCAAGACCACCACTACATGGCTGTAGTGTAAACACAGAAAAGAAAAAAGGGAACTTAATGCTATTTCTGGGTCTATTTTATTTTATTTTATTTTTAATGTTTTATTTATTTCTAGGAGAGAGAGAGAGGCAGCGTGAGCAGGGGAGGGTCAGAGAGAGAGGGAGTCACAGACTGAAACAGGCTCCAGGCTCTGAGCTGGCAGTCAGCACAGAGCCCGACGCGGGGCTCGAACCCACGAACTGCGAGATCATGACCTAAGCGAAAGTCAGACGCTTAACCGACTAAGCCACCCAGGCGCCCCTTTCTGGGTCTATTTTAAACCCATCTGGCTATGGTCAGAGGAAAAAAAGACTTCAATTATTTCCAAAGTGTGTCATGCCAGGCATTGGGAAAACAGTAGTCTGTTGAAAAGGGAGAGCAACAGAATAAACAAACCACATAAATTCAGATTATGATACAAAAGGGCTTCATAAAGGTTGATATGGCAGAGAATAATGCAAGATAGGATAACTGGAAAGATCTCTGTGGTAAGTGACTTTAAGTTGAGATCTGCATATAAAAAAAAGGCCACCAGCTATGCTTGGGATAAAGGTGTTCAGACAAAAGTCACAACAAGTAAAAAGACTCTGAGACAGAGAAGTTGACAAGTCTGCTGAATACAAAGGACAGGGTGGCCAGGCCATCCCACCTTGTTCCCAAATAGAGTTTTTTTTCTTAAAGAAAAGTGCATATTCAATCATTTCAATTCCTTCTAAAATCACCAAGACTACAATTTTTTAGTCAATTGTTATTTCTGGTTTCATTATTTTCCTGCTAAAATTCAGAATACATAAACGAAATAAAAATAAGTGGATCTTGGAACTTGATGCTATTTCCAAAAATTGGTGTTGTTTTCCTTGATTGCCTTCACTCAAGAATAAAGTTCTAAATTAACATTTCTTTTTTTTTTTTTAATGTTTTATTTATTTCTAGCAGAGAGAGAGAGAGAGAGAGAGACAGCATGAGCAGGGGAGGGTCAGAGAGAGAGGGAGTCACAGACTCTGAAACAGGCTCCAGGCCCTGAGCTGGCAGTCAGCACAGAGCCCGACGCGGGGCTCGAACCCACGAACTGCGAGATCATGACCCAAGCGAAAGTCGGACGCTTAACTGACCAAGCCACCCAGGTGCCCCTAAATTAACATTTCTAAGATATATTCAATTATCTCATAAACTTTGACCTACTGAAGAAAAAAAAATTTTAACACTTTCACACATCCTAAATTAGTGGTAAAACAGACTCATCTCTAATTCTGTATTAATTTTCTCAGATTGTCTTAAGAAAACCAACATTCTTTTTTCGAGAAATATATTTGTATCATAAAACAAATACAGTCAATCTTCATCACTTGTATATCCTACCTACACACTAAAGTTTATTTGGAAAACCAAAATCAATAGCCTGTGTTTTTGAGGTCATTTGTAGACACACAGAACTAGAAAAAATAAGTTACCTAACATACACATTCCCAGCTGAGGTAGAGCAAGGCAACACTCTGCCTTCTTGAGCTTTCATACTATAAACAAGTGTCCTTTTTGTCATCTACTTACTACTTTTTTTTTTTACTGGGGGGCTTTTTGTAAGGGGCTGTGCTATTTAAAATATTCCCTTAGCATAGTGCTATCTCGTGTTCCTAAGTGCAAGAAGGTTGTGATGTCCCTTACAGAGAAAACGTGTCAGATGAGTTTCTTTTTTCTTTTTAAGTTTATTTACTTATTTTGAGAGACAGAGAGAGAGTGCAAGCAGGGGAGAGGCAGGGGAGAGAAAGGGAGAGAGAGACAAGCAGATTCCACACTGTCAACACAGAGCCTGATGTGGGACTCCAACTTACAAACCATGAGTTCATGCCCTGAGCCGAAAACCCAAGATTCGGATGCTTAACCAACTGAGCCATCCACACACACCTTGATAGATGTTTCTTTCACATATTAGTCATTGTGCTGTTCATTACGAGTTCAACGCTAATGGATCAACAATATATATTAATGTCTTTAAATGGAAACACATATAAAAACAAGATTTTGATCAGTTGATGAAAATGCTTTGGCCAGAGGTTTGAAGGAAACTACCCCGAAAAGCAATGATCATTTGTCACTAATTCAGTGCTTACATTGATTTTACAGAATATAACTACCACAAGTAAGAAGAATCAAATGTAATTTTCTTTTCAACTTGAAAGGAAAAAAGATTTCTTAAAGCTAAATTCTATAATTCCCAAATCTTCATATTAGGGATTTATACCCTTACATTACATAATTATATCTACTCCTTCTTATTTTTCATTACAATTTCTTCTTTCTTTTTAATTTTTAGAAAACAAACTGTCAACTGCCATCAAACAACTACATTTTAAGAAACGTATCAGGGGTGCCTGGGTAGCTGAATTGGTTAAGCTGGCTGACTCTTGGGTTTGGCTCAGGTCATGATCTCACAGTTTGTGAGTTTGAGCCTCTGCTTGGGATTCTGTCTCCTCTTTCTGTTCCTCCCATACTTGTGCCTTCTCTCCCACTTTCTCTCACTCACATAAACAAACAAATGAATAAATAAAACTTTAAGAAACATATTAGTACATACAACAATTTATTCCTATTTTTCTCTGGAACCCGTGAGATATTCAAATAAGATTTCAATTTTAACTTTTCCTTGAGTATCATAAAGTACATTGTTCATTCACATTCATGTATATAATATTTACTAATATGTTCTATAATAGTTTTCCTTTAAAAAAAATGTTGCTGTTGGCAACATACTATAAGCAAAGTCAGAAGACCAACACCATACTGAAAGAAAATATCTGCAACATATATCATAAAGGGCTATTATCTCTAATATATAAAGAACCCTTACAAATCAATGAGAATAAAAAGAACAACATCCATTAAAAATCTGAACAAAAGGGTAAAGTTCATGAAAAAAGATATATAAATGATACTCAAACATGAAAAGATGCTCAATTTTACTTGTAGTAAGAGAAATGCAAATTTATACTGAAATGCCACTTCTCATCTATTAGATCAATAAAAAGTCAAAGGCTGGGCAACATACTATATTGGCAAGACTGGAGAAATAAGCACTCTCATACATTACTGATAGAGGTAAAAAATGGAGGGAATTTTGAAGTATTTAATAAAGTCATGAATTTACTCAGCAAACCTACTAGGAATCTGCCCTGAAGACACACCTCAAACAATACGCAACAAACACACAAACACAAACATACACACACATACATACACATACATATACATGGTTATGTATTGTCACATTATTTGTAATAGCAAAGTATTGGAGACAGGTTGAATAAATGATGGTTTATCCACACAGTGGAATATTATAGAGATATAAACAAATAAAATGAGGATGTGTCCTATGAATTGATATGAAGTGATTTCTAGAATATTTTAAGTGAAAAGTAGGCACTAAAGAATATATAGACTTTATTATCTTTGTTGAATGGGTGGCAGGAGGACAAGAACTTAAACATAAAGCTATTTATTTTTGCAAAAACAAACACAGGTATGATATATTGGTTACGTATAGCAGGTGAGTAACAACAGTATTAAAAGGCTTAAGGAAGGCATCTGAATTTATATTTTTATACAGCTTTGACTCTTGAACTAGGTTAATATTTTACATAGTCAGAAACAAAAATAAATCAACGAGGATGTGCAAAAAGCCCTCATAGTGAAATATAAACAATAAATTATATTTACATCAAATGATAATATAATCACACAAAAGAAAAATAACTGAAGTAACTTTGAACATAATACTCCAATTCTATATTCCCAGGATATATTCTAAAAAAACAAAACAAAAAAAAATCAAAGGATTTGTGAACTTCACAAATCTGTAAAGGTTTTTTTGTTGCTAGTAGTGATACTAATATAACAATTTGGAAGCCATTTGATGTATATTGTAGAAATGAAGAAGTAAATGTACTGATGTCTTTGGGAACCAGGGAGGGCCCCTTCTTATTTTAGAAGAAATATAATCATGAAATGGAAGGACAGGAAAAACCCTGTGGTTTAGAACTGGAATTAGAGATATCAATATGAACTCATGATTATTTTTTAAAAGTATCTTCCAGTAGGGTATCTGGGTGGCTCAATTGGTTAAACATCTGACTTCAGCTCAGGTCATGATCCTACGGTTCACTGGCTTGAGTTCTGCTTTGGGTGAGAGTAAGCCCCACTTCTCTCCCTCTCTCGTTCTCAAAAAAAAAAAAAGTATCTTCCAGCACATGTCTAAAACTGAATGACAGGAATGTATATTCACACACACATGGCTTATATATGCCTGTGTATGCTTATATATGCACAAAATATTTCCAGAAGGATATTCTGGAAGGAAACTGGCTAATCTGAGGATTGGACTAAAGGACTACAATAGGAAGGTGCCTTACTTTTCACTATATTATCTTCTATTAGAATTGATTTTACCAAGTACATGTATTGCCTATTTAAATACTGTGTAATTCTTTTTTTAAGTTTATTTATTTTGAGAGAGAGAGAGAGAATGAGCAAGGGAGGGGCAGAGAGGGAAAAAGAATCCCAAACGCCTCTTGCACTGTCAGCACAGAGCCTTTGCAGGACTTGAACGCATGAACCGTGAGATTATGACCTGAGCCAAAATCAAGAGTTGGATGCTCAACCCTGAGCCACCCAGATGCCCCAATACTATGTAATTCTTTAATGTGGCCTCCAAAGCAAATATTTCTCATCCTTAAGAGTTATACAGAGAACAATCCAAAACAAACATGCCAATCTAACCTTCAGGACTGCTGTCTGGCTCATATGTCTGCAAAGTTCCTTGTTGTTTAAAGACAGTATTTTTCTTTTTCAGTATTTCCAAGCCTTCTAAAGCTGTACTGTGTTCCGACAATGACTTTAAAAGGGAAATGTTATTTACTAATCCAGAGAGTTCTGAAGGATTTCTAGGAATATTCCTGCACTGTTTGGTTTCCCCAGCAGTTTCTACTTCAATATGATTATGGTCTATACTTCTACTAATCTCTCCCAAGTCTTCAGATTCAGGAATATACACTTCTGTGTCTTTGAAAATTGGATGATTTTTTCCCAGAGGGTAAGATAAAGAATTAGAAACTTGAGTATTTGATTTATCAAGTGCAATACATTCTTCTGAGTGATTCTGATGGACATTTAATTGTTGGATACTGATATCACTGCTAGAAGTTGACGGTAAAACCCATTCATCATTTTTGTCTAAATTACTTCCCATAATAAAAGGCTGAAGTTCATCCTGGTCTGAGAATAGGCTATTTTCAGGAGTCTGATTAGTGGCTATGTTTAAATGAGGAATATGTAAATTCAAGCTTACATCTTTAGATTTACTCAGTAGTGAAGCAGTATCATAGTTAACTCTCACTTTTTGAATAGATTTGTTAGCATCTCCATTATTATCTACATATACATCATCAGTCCACTCTAAGGATGAGTCAAAATTGCTTAATGTGTCACTATACTCCTCTATTTCTCTTTCAATATTTCCAGCTTTCCAAGGTTCTGTGTCAAAACCTTCATAAGCTTTATCACAAAACTGTGATAGAAGAGTCTCTTTATTAGGAGATGTCTCTGTAGGTTTATCCCCAATGGATGTTAAGAGAGACAAATGTTCACTTGGACTTGGACTACTGTCATCAACGAAAGTTTCCTTTACACAACTCCCTGATTCCTGGGAAATGTTGTTTTCCTGTGACTCCTCCTCAGTGTCACTGGTTTCAAAATTGTTCAGATTAAAAGTCACCTCCACAAGCGGCTGTGTTACATTGCTCATAGGTTTAGGAACACTATGAAGACTTTCCTTATCAGTATCACTTTCAGAAAGCATGTGGGGACAGTCATCAGAGACCTGAGAATTGTTACTTATAGAAGATTCAATCTGTAGATGTTCATATTCTGGCAGGAACGACACTGGCTGTCCGTACTCCTTTTCTGGAGTTCCACATATATTTATTTCCTGAGTATTTTCTCTAATGAGAACTGATCCTTTTAGACATATCAGGCCATTTTCATTAACAGGTATATTATTGTTTTGAATGTCAGGTTCTGATAATAAGCCATCATTCTCTACATTGCTACAGGTAACTGGTACACGGTTGCCTTCACAGAATGAAGGAATTTCCAGTTTTACTTCCTGATCCCAAGATTGATCATTAGCATCTACTGGCTTCTTTTCATTATGCTTTTTACCCTCTTTAGCACATGTTTCAAATAACTGTACCTTTTCTTGTACCAAAAGATCTTTCAAATTTAAATTTATATTGTCTCCCTTGGGTTTCCTTTCTATATTATTTCCATCTTCGGTAGAAGAATGTACAGGTGAATTCTGTGAGGATAAATACATGGCCCATCGGCTTTTATTTCTCATGGATTTTTCTGATGGATGCTGGCAGTGGAAACTTTCTGTGCTCTTCACTTCAGCACACTCCTCCTGTTCAATTATGTACTTTGGGTTAGTAGGAATGTTTACACTTCCTTGTAGTTGTATCTGAGGAAGATGTTCTGTAATCCCAGAATTTAGTTCCTTACACATAGTTGATTTGGACTTCAAAAGAGCTAATATCTGTGCTTTGCTTCTGATGTTTTGTGAAACTCCCAAACAGTGAGATGTCAAACCATCTTTTTTCAGGTCCTCATTGGTCTGTAAAGAATCTGAATGCTTATTTACAGAACAGACAGGAAAGCAAGAATAATTTTCTTCACACAGCATTTCTGGGTTACTCTTATAAGATGGAGTAGAGACAAATGAAGAAAAATGTAAGCCATTTGCTTCTCTTTTCTTGTAAGTGACAATGTTCTCAGGGTCTACTGGCATATTATTTATATCTTTCTTGCCAGCAGTAGAAAACAAAGGAGGTGTGCTATACAAGGGAGAAAGAAAATTATGGCCAGGTTTCTTAGCCTCAAGTGATGCAGCTGATTCACCATTTTCCGTAATAATAATTTTCTTTGGCACTTGACGTGGTCCTTGAAAACCCTAAAAATATTAAAACAATTATTAGCTGTTCCATTATCTATGAAGAAAGTGTAAAATGAACTGGCTCAAAAAAAGGAAAGGAAAAAAAGGTAAAGTAATAAAGATATAAAATTTGCTAAATTAAAATGTTAACACCCATTTGTATTAAGATTTTTCTAATTAGGGTTTACTTCCCTACCTGAACATATATTAGGAAGTATCATTTTAATGATATAGAGTACAATAGCTTCAAATTCACTACTTCTTCGAATATGTAAAATATATTGATTTATTACTTTCAACAGAGAAACTTACAGTAAACTTCCTTTTTAAACCAGCAGGCTTGCATCCAAGGGACTGGCCAGAGGATGTATATCTCCTTGGACTTAACTCTGGTGCTTCTTTACTGACATTCTGTTTAATAGCTCTGCTTCCAGCAACTTTAACCTCCTCAACTGTGATTAAGTATCGATCACCTTCTAAGTCATCTCCAGGCTTCACCTAAATTTTAAACAATAAATTTTAAAAAACAAATAAGTTCTAAAACATAAATTTAAAATCATATAGATCTAATTATTTGATTGTGTTCCTGTGTTCCACTAGGTCACTAACACTACTAGCAAGACACAACAGATATTCGATAAATAATTGTTAAATGTAAAACTCAGTAACTAAATCTTTATTATTATCTACTAGTTAATTACTGATAAGCATAAAAAAGAATAATACAACAAAACATTTTTCACCGATTTATTTATTTGATAATACACATATGAGACCCTTTCTGCATGCAGGAGATACAAAGACAAACAGGACAAGTACACACTCTCTGAAGAAGTTCACCAAGAACTAAACATAATTTTTAAAATTAGAGCTATTAAATATCAATTATATATCCTTATAAATTCATGTGAACTACCTACTCATAATTAAAACAAATTAAATATTATTATATATTATTGCTTAATCATAATCCAAAAAGCATTTTAATTACTTGAATAAACAAAATAGTTTTTAATGTTTATGTATTTTTGAGAGAGAGAGACAGAGCACAAGCAGGGGAGGGGCAGAGAGAGAGAGAGGCACAGAATCTGAAGCAGGCTCCAGGCTCTGAGCTGTCAGTACAGAGTCTGACGTGGGGCTTGAACCCACAAACCATGAGATCATGACCTCAGCTGAGGTTGGCTCAGTTGACTGAGCCACCCAGGTGCCTCATAAACAAAATATTTTTTAAAAAACAAAATAAGGGGCGCCTGGGTGGCTCAGATGGTTGAGTGTCAGACTTCAGTTCAAGTCATGATCTCACAGCTCGAGTTCAAGATGCACGCCGGGCTCTGTGCTGACAGCTGAGAGCCTGGAGTCTGCTTCAGATTCTGCATCTCCCTCTCTCTCTGCCCTTCCCCTGCTCACACTCTGTCTCTCTGTCTCTCAAAAATGAATAAATGTTAAAAAAAAAAAATTTAAAAAAAAAACAATCCCCAAAACATAGCACTTGCCACCATCTCTGCAGCATAAAAATAAGATTATTAAGCTGGTTGGTAAGACACAAAATCTGTGTCTTATATCAGATAATGTGCTTAGTCTTTACTAATGAAATGATTTAAAATGAAATAATAACAGTAGTTAGGCCCAATTAAGCATCTACTAAGTCAGCGCTTTCCCTAGACCCTCTTTATAAGAAATATAAAAATACCACAACCACTATTAATGTCATGTAAAATTTAAAAAGATTTAACACTATGACCAAAATCAACACAATGTTAACAAGAATATGCATTTTAACACATTTGGAATCACCATACTAAACTGCTAAGCATTTTACATAAATTATTTTCTAATTTTTTGACCAACACAATGAAGTCTATGGTTTACATGTTATAAACAGTACAGAAGTTAGACACAGAGATTAGTTAGAAAGCACTTGAAAGTGGGAAATGAATCCAGAATGACCAACTTTAATAGCCTTATTCTTTACACTGAAATATGCCTTTAGTCCCTTTTTTTCTCCAAAAGGGAAAAAGAATATTTGAGAAAATATTATAAATAGGAATAATTCCACAAAATATTTCCCACTATAGTTCTCAGCCTATCAAGACCAAGTAATAGAGTTAGGCTACAGGGTCACTTTCTGGGTTTAAATCCCAGTCTTACCACTGTAACTCTATGAATACAAGCAAGTTACTTAACCTTTCTGTACTGCACTCCTAAACTATAAAAATCACAGGGCTGTGTAAAGATTAAATGAAATAATATCTAAAAGATTTTAGCAGAGAGTACGGCTATTAACAAATGTTCAATAAGTACTAACTACAATTAATACTACATTAATACTAATGGTATTTAACAATATTCATAAAGGAAGTAAAGAGATTTTTTTAATTTAAATAACTTAAAAATAAGATAGAAACATTAAAATACCTCAAGGCACTTAAGAAATATACTCTCCAAACATTCTCCTTTGTCATCATATAAAATTGCCTGTATTAAAACAAAATATATGTTACACAGAATGTAATTCTGCTTTTCTTAAACATCTTCAATAAACAGCAAATCAAAAAGTGTTATATAAGTAACTCATATAATGAAATAATTACTTACCCACTTTGTTTTGGACTAGAAAGTGTATCTATTTCAGGGCACCTGGGTGGCTCAGTCAGTTAAGTGTGTGATTTCAGCTCAGGTCATGATCTCATGGTTTGTGAGGTAGAGCCCACATTGGGCTTGCTGCTGTCAGTGCAGAGCCTGCTTTGGATCCTCTGTTCCCTCCCTCTCTCTCTGCCCCTCCCCAATTTGAGCACACACATTCTCTCTCTCTCTTTCAAAATAAATATTTTCAAAAAAAGAAAAAAAGTGCATCTATTTCAAATGTTTCCTATGCAACTATTCAGTGGAAGAGAGCAAAGGTATACATATAAGGAATTCACAGTTAATCTCTATGAAAAGGATCTGGGACTTGAAAGAAAACAGAATTGGAATGCATCAGAGGGCAAAACAGGAGGCAAGCTGAGTAAAGAGTTTACGACAATGGTGTGGCATGAAGGATCAGCGAGATGATCAGTGCTTGAATTAAGGCATCAGCACTGGGATAGACACTTGTTTATGGGGTGTAAGTAATAAAACTTGTTGAAGTAAGGCATATGTGAGAAAAAAGAAGCTAAGGTAATTATAACTTTCCGGCTTTTTCCTTGTGTCTCTAGCCATTTTTTATACCAGTTTCTCCACTAGTCCCTTAAATATTTCTGTTTCCATCACTTTGGAAAATAGCTTGGTAGTTTCTTAAAAGGTTAAACATGAGATGCCACATGATCCAGCAATTCCACTCCTAGATACATAATACAGAGAAATGAAAACATAGATCTTCACAAAAAATTGCACACAAATGCTCATACAAACATTACACATAACAGCCAAAAAGTAGAAACAACTTATACGTACACCAATTAAAGAATGGATAAATAAAATGTGACATATCCACACAATAGACTATTACTGAAAAATAAAAAGAATAAAGTATTGACATATACTTTAACATAGATGAACCTTGAAAACATGCTAAACGAAAGTAGTCATTCAATGAAAGAACACATATTATATAAGTCCATTCATGTGAGAAGTCCAGAATAGGCAAATCTATTGTGACAGTAAATTAGTGGTTGCTTAGGGCTGGGAGGTAGGTACTGAGTAGTGACCATTAATAGGAATGGGATTTCTTTTTGGGTGACCAAAGGTCTGAAATTATATTATAGTAATGGTCAGCAGAATTCTGTGAATATATTAAGAAACATTAAACTGAATACCTTAAATGGGTGAATTGAAAAGTTTGTGAATTATATCTCAATATAACTCTTTAAAAAAGTGGTGTTTACAAAGGCTCTATCTTTCCCCCTCTATTCTTTACATTCTCTACTCCATCCTTTGGCAGTATCATCCACACAAACCAGATCATGTCATGCTTCTGTTCAAATCCTTCCAATGTCTCCATAGCTTCCAAAGAATAAGAACAAAAGTTCTTTCAATGACCAGTAAGGCCTACATAATCCCCTTTATCTTCATTCTCACCCTTGCTCACCCTACTCCTTGTTGTTTGCCTAACACACTGGCCATACATATTCATTTAGTTTATTGGTCTGTTTCCTCCATGGTGTTTCCATGAAGTCAGGGATTTATGTGTTTTGTTCTCTCCCTAGAATAGTGTGTAACTCATTACAGGTGCTCAAAAAATATCTGTTAAATGAATAAATGAATGTATCCACTCCAGCATCTTCAAATATCCAAATGCCACATACCCCCAATCTATCTTTATCAGTGGTCCAGAACTTTCCTGAGTTCCAGGTCTATAGAGCCAATTACTTAAATGTTCCTAGGACAGTACAAATTCAGTAAGTTCAAAAACTGGAACTCAAAATCCTAATTATTCCTCCTAAACTTTTTTTTTTTTAGATATCCTATCTCAGAACCATAACCACAGTACAAAAATCTGAAACTCATTATGGATTCTCCTCACCTTTCACATCCAAGACCTTAAGATTCTATAATATTTTCATAATTTCTCCCTCATCATCTTTTCTCTCTACTGTCATCGCTTGGTCAGATACCCATCACTTTTTGTCTATATATTCTTTAGTCTACAGCCTTCCTAACTCCAATCTTTCATCCTACACAGCATTAAAGTTATGATACATATTGCTGCCAAAGTGATCTTTCTAAACCAGAAACCTGATTATGTCACTCTTCAACTCATAATTCTTCACTGGCTCCTGAAGCAGAGAATACAAAGTCCTTCATTATATGACTCCTGTCTGCCTCTTTAGCTACGTTCTACAATTTCCCAATGAGTCCTTCATTCCATGTATATTTAATTGCTTATAGTTCACCAAGTGTTTAATATAGTTTCATAGCTCCATGTTATAGTTATGATACCATCTTTAGTTTCCCTCCCTCCAACCTATCAATTCTGTTTACAAAACAAAAAAAATACTCAAAAAATATTCTTCATCTGGAAAGACTTCTCAGAACCAAAGTCAGACTTTGATATCTTTCCTTCATACTCTCATAGACCCTAAGCATATCTCTTTACATATTATAATCTTATGTTCTTAGATAAAAGCTCCTTGAAGACAAAAACTATAATAACAGTTACCATTTACTGCATTTCTACAGTGTGCCAGGGATTTTGTTAAGAGATTTATACAGGGGCGCCTGGGTGGCTTAGTTGGTTAAGCGTCCAACTTTCGCTTAGGTCATGATCTCGTGGTTTGTGGGTTCGAGCCCCGCGTCGGGGTCTGTGCTGACTGCCAGCTCAGAGCCTGGAGCCTATTTCAGAGTCTGTATCTCCCTCTCTTTCTGACCCTCCCCTGCTCACGCTGTCTCTCTCCTCTCTCTCCTAAAAATAAATTTAAAAACGTTTAAAAAAAAAGAGATTTATACATTTTTCTTATTTAATCCTCAAGACAACTTTATGAAAAGAAACTATAGGCCTTGAGAGGCTAAATAACCTGCCAAGATTACACATCTAATAAGTGAAGAATGAGGATTCAAACTAAGGGGTCTTTTTGACATTAACATGTCTTTTACATTGCCTTCATATGTCTTATTTAACTTTTCCCATTGCCTACCAGCAACATATGTTTATTGAATGATGACTCAATTAATGGAAGATGAGTAACTGTGACAGTAAGCATTTGGATAGGTAGGGAAAAGGAAAAGGTAATACTAGCAAGAGAAAAGGTGCAAGCAGTGGCTTGGATTTGAGAACAAGAGTGTAATTTAGGATCTACTAACTTTCCTGGATTACAGAAAATCCCTGGGACTAACTTGAACTTTTCTTGTTTTCCTACAATTTACCAATGCAAGGTATAAAAGGGCCATTCAATACACATGTGCTATAGATAAAGTTGGATAACACCACTAGCGTGACCTAATATTATAATTTTGTACCAGAAGACATGAAGGATATGCAGAATCTAATCAGATGTCTTTTTTGTTTTTTAATGTTTGTTTGTTTGTTTATTTTTAATGTTTATTTATTTTCAGAGAGAGAAACAGAACATGAACAGGGGAGGGGCAGAAAGAGAGGGAGACACAGAATCTGAAGCAGGCTCCAGGATCTAAGCTGTCAGCACAGAGCCCAACTTGGGGGCTAGAACTCTCAAGCCCTGAGTTCAAGATCTGAGCCAAAGTTGAATGCTCAACCGACTGAGCCACTCAGGTTCCCCAATGTTTATTTATTTTTTAGAGAGAGAGGCAGACAGACAGAACGTGAGCAGAGGACGAGCAGAGAGAGGGAGACACAGAATCTGAAGCAGGCTCCAGCCTCCGAGCTGTCAGTACAGAGCCCAATGCAGGGCTCAAACTCACAAACAGCGAGATCATGATCTGAACCAAAGTCAGACACTTAACCAACTAAACCACCCAGGTGTCCCAGATGCCTTTTTAATATAAGATAAAATCTATAATACATTGAAGACTTGGCCCAACCAAATAGGAAAACTATTAAATATATGTATATATGTAGAGAGAGATAAAATAGGTCAATCAGTGAATAGATTAGTTAGTTTAAGACAAATTATTTCAAAATATAAATGAAGACAGGCATAGATATTCATCTATTCAAATTAAAAGAATTAGATAATTAGTGGCTGGTGCAGTCACTCTGGAAAACAGTATGGAAGTTCCTCAAAAAATTAAAAATAGAACTACTCTACAACCCAGCAATTGCACTACTAGGTATTTATCCAAAGGATATAGGAGTACTGATTCGATGGGGCACATGCACCCCAATGTTTATAGCAGCACTATCAGTAACAGCCAAAGTACGGAAAGAGCCCAAATGTACATCAATTGATGAATGGATAAAGAAGACGTGGTATACATATACAATGGAATATTACTTAGCGATCAAAAAGAATGAAATCTTGCCATTTGCAACAACATGGATTGAACTAGAGTATACTATGCTAAACGAAATAAGTCAGTCAGAGAAAGATAAGTATCATATGCTTTCACTTATATGTGGAATTTAACAAACAAAACAGATGAACATAAAGGGAAGCAAAAATAAGATTAAAAACAGAGAGGGAGACTGACCTAAATACAAAGAAAACACAGGGCTGCTTGTGAGGTGTTGGGTGCTGGGATGAGCTAAATGGGTGATGAGAATTATGGAGGCCACTGATTGGAAGGAGAACTGGGTGCTATATGTAAGTTATGAATCACTAAATTCTAGTCCTAAAATCATTATTATACTATATGTTAATTAACTTGGATTTAAATGTAAAAAAATAAGGGCACCTGGGTGGCTCACTTGGCTGAACATCCAACTTCAGCTCAGGTCATGATCTCATGGTTAGTGAGTTCGATCCTCACGTCATGCTCTGTGTTGACAGCTCAGAGCCTGGAGCCTGCTTTCGATTCCCTGTATCCTTCTCTCTCTGCCCTTCCCCCACTAATGCTCTGTTTCTTTCTCTCTCAAAAAGAAA